TTATATTTGGCCATGGCGTTTATGGCAGCAGCAGAAACCTACCTAGGAAAGACCTCAAATGAGACTGGATCACTGTCCTGTTTCAGTCCCTTGAGTGTCCACCCATTAGATAGCACATTGAAGATCAAAGTTTCCTGAGTGTCTAATTCTCCACAGTGGTGCTACAAACCTAGAAGATTGCAGCTAGAGCATGTTAAGATTAACCCCTTCTGGTCCAGATTGAAGGAAGCCAGGTTTTGATGTAAGCCCAGTCTACCAAGAGGACAAAAGAGCCTCCAGTCATATACCCCAGAAGAATGCCCACATCACCTCTGATGGAGAAGCGGGGTAAAAGCACTGACAAAAGTTAAAGGACACCTTCTAGAGCAGTCTCAGAGCAGGAATTGGGCAGCTGATCTTGTTGATTGGCTTTTGGGTCATAGGATGGCAAAGCCAAACAGGCAGTAGAGGCATTTGTAGAAGGTGGCAGGGTAGCTGTGAGGGCTTGGAGTTCAGATAGTGACAACATTGAGAGCCTTATTAGTGTAGGATAGCATTGATGTAGGTGACAGTGTCTTGTTTTCTGAAGGAGAAGCATGAGGATCTTAAGAGCCTGAAACTAGGGAAGTACCAACTTTACCAGGACTTAATAACCACTGGGAGTGAAAACAAAAATAGAAATGATATCATAAAATCAGACATGGGAGCTAAAGGTGTAGTGATGTATTATTTAAAATTTACTAAAGCTTGGCTGAGGATGCAGAAAGCAAAGTCAGCTACAAGCCATAGAGGGCACCTACACACTTTTAATACCAGGAGACAGAATCCAGGAGTTGGTGGTACACAACTTTAATCCTAGGACTCAGGATTAAGAGATAGACAGATCTCTGTGAGTCCAAGGACACACAGATATACACAAGTGTGAATTAGTTTCAATGAGAATTAGAACTCACACCACAATCCCAACATTCAGGAATTATGTAAGACAGAAGCACAGTCTCAGATCGGAATACATTCTCCAGCCACACTGGAGAATCTGTTATAGTCTTAGGCCTGGTGAAATCTCCAGCAGACAGGATGAGCTATTCAGTATGAGGTAGAGGTAAGAAGCTGTTGGCCATTGGATTTGATTTTTCTAATATTTGCTTGAAGTCTAAACCCCAATTTCGGTCTCTGATTCATTTTTTTTTTTTTTTTGCTTTAGCTAAAGGAGTCTAAACACACCCAGAAGAGCTACTTAGCAGTTGACCTAGCCAGGATATCTGCAATGAATTTTCATTTACAGCCTCACAATTTTGGCTGTTGTTTGTTTGTTTCTTTTTTGAGAGAGAGAGTTTCATTTCCTCTACATTTTCCAAACTGTTAGCAAACAACATTAGGATTCATTGAATATGCACCTATGTCTCATCCCTAGGGTTGAGAATTCCAGAATCACCATTTGTGTATTCTGTTTCCTCCTGTAATTTTGAACATTTCAACCCACAACAACTGGGATCCTAGGATTCTGTCTGGTGAGAAATTGGATGAAGATTTTGTGGAGAAAATGTGAGAGTCTACTCCTCTCAGCCCCATAGATGTTAGTCAATTGCCCTGGAGTGTGCTGGGAAAAAGAGCATTGTCACAGCATCCCTGCACCAGTCAGATCGCCTTTTATATTCTCATTAGTCTTAGTTTAATAAATGAGGAACTGATTACATTGAGAATTTATGTGACAGGTTCTATAAACCAAAAGTTATGACAGCATGTTAGGGTTCGAGAAGAGGGAACCATGTTATCCACCCATGAATTGATGAATGTCAGTGTGTGCCAGATACTTTTTCAACTTGACACAAGCTAGAGTAATCTTGGAAGAAGGAACTTAATTGTCTTGTAGGTAAGGCTTCTAGGTAATTGTAAATGGGCAATTTTGATTAATGACTGGTGTCCCTAGGCTGGAGGTCATGAAAATTATGGGGGAAAAAAGCAATCTTAGGGAGTCAAGGAGAGCAAGCCAGTAGGCAGCTTTACTCTAGGGTATGTACTGTTGTTTACTGCATCAAGATTCCTGTCTACCATTCTGGCCCTGATTTCTACTCATGGTAGCATATAATTGGGACCTGAAAGTGGAATTAATCTTTCTTCCTCAAGTTGCTTTTGGTTATGAGGTTTTATCAGAGCAGCAGATACACAGTGTTCATATCCCATGAAGAACAACATCGGAAGCCTCTTATACTTCAAAAGATTTCACCGATACTCATTAAAGTGGAAATGGATTTTATTAGGGTTTGGATGTCTAATTTCCAAGGGTTGGTCCTTGTTTGATGGTTGGTCCCTAGCAATTGGCTGCCCTGGTTTTGAAGTTGTGGAAAATCTGAATGGGTCTTGGAAGGTATAGATAATGCTAAATATAAACATCTTACTTGTTACCCTCTGTCCAAAAGACCAGACCAGCCTTCACATCCTTGAGGACATATGTGGGGGGGGAGTGAGATATCCCAAGTTATCATGAGCCTAGGGTGCCAGGGTATGGCTTCATCTCTCATATATGTTGTCTTAGGGTTCTTGCAGACAAGTATATTCTTGCTCATTTGTGAACACATCACACCACTGTCTTCTGGGATCCCGGGCTTTGGTGAGGTCTCAGCCATAATGGGCATCATTTTATGAATGATGATATATTTATCACTCACAGATGTAAGTCCAATGCCTTGAAGGGCCATGGAACACATTAATTTGTCACAACATCCCAATGTAATCATCCTATAGAACACAGAAATCTGTCATTAAAGAAAAATAAAGTAAAAAATTTGAGTATAGAAATGATGAGTTATTACAAACTTGTCATAGGGTGGATGGTCCAAGTAAAAAGAAAATAGTATGCACCTACTATCTGGAGGCTATCAGAGTCTATAACAAATGGAGGTCCAGTTCTGTGGGGCCCATTGTCATATTTATGATTCCTTGTTTCATTATTAAACTGAAACTCATCCTGGTTTAGGTTTGGGTGTCAATATCCAACAAAAATCAAATACTTGGACTCAGTTCCAACCATGGAACACCATTTGGGAAACCTTCTGGACCAAGAAAGTATGATTTACAGGAAGAAGTGGCTCGCTAGGAAACAAAGGGGACACCCATTTGAATGTACCAGTCTTATCAGGCCCCTAATACCACACTGACCAGACTCGCCTTTGTGTCCTTGGTGATAGAATGTAAGGAAAGCCAGTGAAGTGTGCTGAGCTGTCATTGGTCCATTTCTTGATGTGACCTCACAATGACAGACACCTATGCACTAACAGCTTTGGCTGAGGCTGACTCCAGTCCTTACAGTGCAGAAGCTGTTAGCTGGTTGGAGATAATTTAGAATCGTTTATTATTGAGCTATTTATACTTGGATAGTCTTGAAATGGTGAATCTGAACACGGTTTGTTGCCCTCTAAGTTCATAAATTCAACTTTCATTTCTCTGAATTTAAACTATCTCTACCTTCCTTCTTACTGGATTTGAGGTACAATTTGGGGCAATTTTCTTTTCTTGTATTCCTTACACATTTACTATTATAATGTGTCACTTTATTTGGACTCATCTTTCTTTCACCATTTAAAAATATTAGTTTATATCAACTACAACACATTCTCAGATTGACATGTACATACATGTACAAAACTTGACCACATTCCCCTGATCTCACTGCCTGTTGTCCACCCCTTCCAAGTCCCTCATCATTCAGCCACTTACATCATGAGGACAGGCCAAATCATGTGGACTCCTGTTCAGAGGACTGACAGGCCATACTGGATGATCTCTTAAGGAAGGGCAGCAGTGTCTCTGTGCTTTGAGAGAAACCTTGGTACTAGGTGGTTATCTGAAGATGTTCCTGGTAGCTCAAGTACATGACTCGCAAAAGCAGAGGATATAGTAAGATCCTGTTCTTTGGATATTATGTATGGAACAGGGCAGCTGAAAGACTTCAAGAACAGAGGAAATGAATGGGTAAAGAGAGCCTATTCTTACAGGAAGAAAAGAACTGGCCTTGGTGGGACATGTCCCTCTACCATCTCCTGTCATTCTGGCTCCAACCTCTGATCCAAGATTATTTTTATTCACACAGACTCTAGGCATGCTGGTTTTCACATTGAGCTCTTATGTAAGGTGCATCAGCTGACCCTGCAGGGCTCTGCTCAGGCTGGCCACAGCTAGTGGTATCATGTTTGATTGTCAGGTGTGTGTGTGTGTGTGTGTGTGTGTGTGTGTGTGTGTGTGTGTGTGTGTAAATATGTGTCTGTGTCCTGAAAACACCCTGTTGAAACTTGAATCCTAATAGAACAGGATTAACTAATGAGGACTCAGGAGCACCAGAGATTGGCCACACAGCAGAACATGTAGCCTTTAAGAAAAGACTTCATAAACTGAGTTCAAGATTTCCTTCTTCATTTGGCAATACATACTAAGCACCACATAGAGTTAGAGAAGTTCTGTTAAACACTCAGTTACCAGGTACTTGATCATATCTTTTGGGTGTCCAGAAACAACCAATTTCTGTTGTTTCTGCTTGACAAAGCTAAGGAATTTTGTTAGAGAGAAGGGCCTAGGGTGCCAGGGAATAGCTCCATCTCTTACACCTGTTGTCTTATGTACTGGAAGACAAATATTTTCTTGATCATTTTGAAAGTATCATGCCACTGTTTCTGGGATCCTGGGCTTTTGTGAGAAGTCTCAGGCCTAATGGGTGCATGTGAAGAATAATGTCATCTTTAGCCCCCACAGATGTTAGTCCCAGGCCCTGGGGTGCCATGGAACACAGCATCTTTTCACAACATCCAGTTAGTCAGGAGCTGCCTCCTCTTTGAGTGAATGTTCCTAAGCCATCTGCCCACCCGGACACTCTGGGTTTTGGGTGTCTGTTGTCTTGGAAACTATTCTTGCCTCTGTTTTACCTGAGCATCATCTCAGTGAGTGTTGGGGTAGCAAAGACCTACCATTCCCACCTAGTGCACCAGAACCATCAAGGTGCTCTTTTCCTCATGTGCAGCCACGAGGAAATGAGTGAGAACTTCTCTGATTCCAAGATCGGGTCAAGAAGCAGCCTGATGTCCAGTGTCCAGCCATCTCTCTTAATGGACACTGCTTCTTCTAGGCCAGGCGACAATGAGACCACATGTGACACAGGCAACATATCTTGCTGCAGTAACCAAGAAGAACTCTGGAACTCCATGGACACAGCTCAGAGTATAACCCCCAGATACTGTTTCTCTGGGGATACTTTCTGCGTAGAAACCATCACAGAAGAAGAAGACATTTGGAAGGAAGTGAACATCACCCAGGAAGAGGCCTTGAATGAGCAGGATAACATCTCACAAGAAACAACAATAACCCAGGAAGAGTCTGTCATAGGGGAAGTGACCATTAACCAGGAAGAAGATATCACACAGGAAGCAACCATAACCCAGGAAGAGGACATGGCACATGAAGGGACCATCACTCTGGAAATGACAATGAACCAGTTAGCGACCCTGACTCAGGAAGACAGCATCACAAAGGGGGAGGCCATCACCCCTGGCCAGCCTGAGGATGCTGACCCAGCTTCCTCGCGTAACCAGAGGGGCCCTAGCTGGAAGGGGGTCAAGAAAATAATGGTGAATGGCCTCAGACACCTGTGCAGCTGCCCGACAGCTGCTAAGAGAAGCCATGACTCCAGCAAGACCCTGGCTCCAAAGAAACAGGATCCTGCAGTCACCCACAGAACCAGGTGGGGCAAATATCCCTCTTTATTCGTTCTTTTCCTGCTCTCCTTTGTGACAGAGGATGGCTGTGCCCTATTGTGGCATCCTTGTGAACTTAACAACCTGTCCCTTCAGAAAGAGCAATCCCAGGGGATGCCTTCAAGTGTGACCTCAAGCATGTTGAGCTACAGCACAGATGCTGATCAGAGCAGGGAGAGCAGGAAATGGGGGCATGGGCAAAGGAATCAGAGATTCCTTGGAGGAACAGTGGGGTGTTTAGGTGATTCAGGGCCTCTCAGTAAGTTATGTGTGTTCCAAAGTCATGAACACAAAGTCATGTGTTCCTGTGTCTTTCTACTTGTAGTTCTGAAGATATCAAGCCCCAGATCCATGGCTTGTGAGCTATGGGTTGGGGATTGGTCTGGCTGAGATGTGGACATCCCACAGTTGAGCCAGGCCTGATTGCCAGGAGGCAGTATGGCCACTGGCTCCTCCTCCAGCAAAAGAAGAACAGCTGTCCACCGCAGTCAGCTGTCATCAGGTAAATTCCCAGGCCGGAAGGGCAGGCTTTGCATGGGGTCTTGTTCAGAGGGCAGGACTGATTTACAAAGGTGGCCAAGTATGTCTTGTAAAACAATAAATAGCCCCTTGCCCTCTCCCCTACCTTGGTAAATAGCATGCACAGCCATCTGTAATGACTGTGCTTTGCTCCCTGTTTCTTTGCGGAGAATATAGTCTTTTCCATGGGGTGCACCTTTCTGCCCCAGGGAGAATATTCCTAGTCAGCTTGTCCCATCTGCCACAAGATGCGGGTGATCCCAGATGGAGAATGTCCACTGCAGGCAGCCCTGCACAGTTCTCTAGAGGGCAGCCTCCTCCCAACCACTTGCAAAAACCTCCAAGACTACTATCACATCAAGTTCCATGACCTGAGTCCTCAGACCCCACTCAGAGCACAGCTTTTGAAAATCCCATATGTGGAGTGACTCCAAGGGGGGCTGAGTCCTCTCTCTGCACCAGTTCTGCCCTCTGGTTACTTACCAACTGTCTCTCCATGCTTCTTCTTCAAGGCCACAATTCACATTGAGAACTGGATTCTGCACTCAACACCACTTGCCACAACCTTAGGGAATGAAGGATGTCCTGATCATGGTCAACCTGAAACATTTCTGAGGGGGCGGCAAGCTGTTGTATGCCCTGCCTATTGCCAGCCACAGTCTGCTCTCTGCAGGGGACGATTGCGTCCATAAGTTGATTCCATTTCTCTGTGTCTTTGCAAATTGCTTGTTCTCCTACAGGTAAGCAGCCTTGTGCACATCCTCTGGTAGACATTCTGAGAAATGATCTATACCCTACAGTCACATTTATGTGATCTCTTCTTGTGTCTTTTTATCCTTAGACTGCACCAAGTTGTCCAGCCACCAGACATGGGAAGTCTGTGTAACTGATGTGGATGGTTTGTTTGTCCAGCTTATTCCTAAATTGAACCCAAGAAGAGAAGTTTCCTAGAATCATCATCTTGCTGGGACATCATCTGTGTTCAGCAGCATGTCCCTAGTGTGTTCCTCAAAGTTGAAACACATTTCAAATGTGTCCTCTGAGCAACACTAAGCTTATAGGAAAGACATGTTTGTACCTAATTTGAGAAGAAAGGGGTGTCTTATTCAACTCTGAGGTGGGAAAAGAACCCCATAACCCAATGCTTTCCAAACCTCCATGTACAATTCTGGCAAAGGAGATTCCCCAGGATCCTGTGCTGGCCTCATCCACTGGACCAGACTGAGCTGCTCAGACAGAGCTGAGCAGGGCATCTCAGGAGACTCTGCCCAGCCTGGGTTGGAGATCTGGCTTGGTATTCTGATCACAGTAAAGCAACTTTACTGTTCTCCTGATCTCCATCCACTGGAATGAGTGAGTACCCTCCCGCCATCCCTCCAACCCTCCATCCCTCCCTCCTCTCTCTCTCTGGTCTTTCCTAGCCTTCAACACTGTCTTTCTGTGTGTGTCTTCTTATACATAAACTATTTCCAGGCAGGTCAGGGGCTCTGCCTTAACTGCAACCCCCCAAAGAAACATTAAACCCTGAAGAAGGCATAAACAGCAAACCCAAATATAGACATAAAATAAAATTGCAATTCACTGGAATAGATACATGCAATTATAACCAAGCAAACAATCATGAGACCTTGAATCACCCACCTTAATATTAACAGATTCACAGAAGTATGCTAAGGCACACATTCTGTCTAACATCCAAGACACAAATTGGATTTCCTAACCTGACAGTTGTGTTAAGATGTCACATGCACACTGCCACTTTATATTCTGAGGTTTGGTTCTGTCCAATTTGGTTACTTCGAACAGCATTGCCACAAACTCTTTTCCTTGTTTGCTTACAATGTTCACACAGAGTCTTGCCCTGTAACTCGGGCTGGACTGAAACTCTGTGTGTAGTGCAGGCTGGCTTTATATTCAGAGGTGCTGTTGCCTCAGTCATCCTCATGTGCACTTGACATTTTGAGCATTTGAGGTTTAGTCAGGGTCTCATCTGTCCCAGGTATGCCACTCTGTAAGCAAAGATCAACTTGAGCAGGACCCTCATCATTTTGTCTAACGTCCCCAATGCAGAATTTCAGGATCTGAACCACTTTGCCCTGTTTGGTAGGAACAGGTCCAGGTCAGAGTAGGGAGTTCCTGGCTTAGTGTCACTCCATCTCACAAAGAACCTGCACATTCTCAGTATTTGGACTCTGACATGTGGACAAAGGAGCTGGAAGCTTGGTGAATGGAAAGACTGTAAAATCAAGCTGTGGCAGCATCCTTGTGTCATCTTAAGCTTGGTGGAGAAGAGAGGCAGGAATGGGAGCTTGCTGGCCTGAGACCAGTGAGATACCTGATTTGAAAATTAAAATCAAAGCTCATCATAGTGGAGCACCCCTTTAAACCCAGGATTCAGAGTGGAGTCAGGTTGATATCTCTAAGTTCTGGTCTGTAGCCTGGGCTACAGAGTGAGTTCCAACACAGCAAGGTTTACACAAAGAATCCCTGTCTCTAAAACAAACAAAATAAGTTTTAAAAGCACTGGATGAATATTCCTGGTCTACAATTTTGATCAAAGGGTAGGGACAGACAGACGGACAAACACACACACACACACACACACACACACACACACACACACACACACACACACACACATTATGTACAGTTCTCCAGTCCTGCCTTACCTGTTCTTCCTCAATACTGTATAGACACTATACTCATGATATTTCCTTCCCTTTTCCAAAAGTCATGACTCTGAAACTAAACAGTGACATAACTATCAGTCCTCTCAATGAGAAATCCTTTCTTTTTTCCTCTCCTCTTAGTTGACACCAGCTTTCTGTATGTAGTACAGGCTCCCAGGACCGGCAACCCAACTACCCTCAGCCAAATGAGGGTTGGGGTACAGGTGTGCACCTCATCTTAGTGAGTTTTGTAGTTTTGTTTTTAAATGATGTATATAGCTGTGGACATCCTTAATTTTTTTAATTTTTCTGTCTCCATATAGCAAATGTAAGGATTCCAGGAATTCTCTACCAAGCCTGGATTATTTTGTCTTGTGGACCAATTCCAGGCCTTCCTGCATGATGGGCATCAGCTGTCCAACTGTGTCCTTTCTGTATCTCAGCCTACCCTGGGTCTCAATATGTAGCTGAGGAAAACCTGAAGTTCTGGATCCTCCCTTTGGAATTACAGATCTGCACCACTGAAGCTGCATTTTCTCCTTTTTTCTTTAGCCTTTTCAGATGACCAGACTTCCTAATCAGAGTCTTTTGAAGTACCACACACATGAGTTGTAGCCCACATAACAATTTTTCTGAAGCTGGTGTGCTGTGGATGGGAGAGAGGTACAGGAGGCTGTTCCCATCCCATGTTCTCAAGGACTAGGGTCAGTGTGTCCAGCTAGCACAGAGCTTCATGGTCCTGGGTTCTTGACAAGCACAAAATAAAACCCACTGGAGCTTGCCTGGCATTGGGGGTGGAGACAATCCTTACTCCAAAATCTTAATGGCCATATCTGACCAAAATATCACATAGCATCCCTTCACAACCTCATGTTCCTCATGAATCAGAATACCTTTCCCATGGAGAGATGAAAACCGAGCATCCAGATGCCCAGTGAATATTTTGTGTGACTGACATCAGGAACTGGCCTGAGCATTGAGTTCATGCCCTGTACACTGCATTGAGGAGCTGTTCAGTAAGTATTGACCATGGGTGAGGTGTGTGTAGGGAGGTTTGGAGGGCATGGAGACCCCTTCCAAAGGCAGAAAGCAGCTGGCTCTTGAAGCTGTGAGACTCTCTGGTGTAATGCTGCCCCCTAGTGGCCTTTCTATACCAGCTACGTGTCATTGGTGCACTGATTTGCTGCAGTCCCTTCTTCAACTCAGGCCACAACTGGGTTGGTTAGGTGTGTTTTTTGCTGGGGTGGAGGGAGGCATGCCCTGCTAAACCCATCTGACATACTTTTGTCTTTCCTTATTTCTTTCCCCTTTCCCATTTATCATAATAAAGAAACAAACAGCTTTCAAACCTGGGATACCCAGGCAATGTCCCTGAAGAAATTTCCTAGATAGAGAGCTGCTTCTCCTGGACCTGATCTCCACAATGAGGATGACTGGGTGGCTGGTCAAGAATGAAATTCACACCAGGACGAGATACAGAAGCACAAGAGGGTTGGCAAGGTGTCTGTCTGTCCACTGAGAGCCTGCTTCCCTTATGAGATATGAGTACATTCCCCAGAAAGATTGGAAAAGAAGAAGCTGGTGTGCTGAGGCTATCTACCACAGGACTTGGACATAGAGAAATGTGCATGTCCTTTTTGTTTTGTTTCTGTATTGTTTATTTATTTATTTATTTATTTATTTATTTATTTGGCAGGCTTTCGCTCTTTGGCCCTGTCTCTATATCCAGACTGGCATGACTCCCAAGTGGTGGGAACAAAGGCATACACCACCACCACAACCACCACACTGGGCTATAG